TTCGCTGGCGATCATCAAAATTCTATCATTTGATTGGCTGTTGATCACATGATGTGCCTCCGCTTTAGACGACCCCTGTATTAGGCATGTTAGTAAAATTATTCTTAAATTTAGATAATTTCTATTTGCACACTACGTATGTGTACGTATATACACGAGAATATAGAAAAGACAAGATCCGGTATAACATAAAATTATTGCATTTTTTTAAAAAATTGTTTATCTTAAAATATCAATTATAAAACCGTCTTTGGAATTTAAATTCTCGTGAAATTTTGGTACGTATAAGCTATTGTTCTAACTTAACTTTAAACCTATTTTACTCTAACCTTAAATGAGATTTATTTTTGTTTTATAACAAGTGTTACACGGATTTGCAAATAATATCTATGCACAATACACAAAGTGTAATTATAAAAAGATATATACATAATTATATGTATGTAAAATTAAGTATTAAAACATTTTTACTCAATTAAATTACAATAATAAAGCTTTGTGTTATTATTAGAGGTGCAGGTGAAACTTGAATCATTGGGATGTGCCGTGTCGAAACTCAGTTATAACTAGTTACAACTTGTCGATTGAAAATACGGCAAATCGAAACTTGCAAATTCACCGATATAATTACGGCATGCCGCAACTTATTTATATCCGTAACCTGTATTGTATGCCATAACTATAATGTAACTAGTACGTATCAGGTGTCGTATATACGTACGTACGTATGTACTGCACGTACGTACGTGCATACAAGATTTTTACGATTCACACGATTTAATAACATAGAGACGGAACAGTAAATATTTTTCAAGGACAAAGCCTATGATTAATTACCATTACAATATATCATAATGTGCTTTAGAGCATTAGCTATTAATTGTTATTACCGTTATATTATATGTAATATTAATGAAATCTATGCCATTATATTATATATTTAAAGCGATATATATATTAAATACATCTATTATACTATTTTCAAGCACTCGAGCTATTTAGTTTGCAGGATCGTAATTAGTACTTCCTGCACCTATTCGTTGCATGTTATTGCTTGATGCTCTACTTTGCTTCTCAATAAAGGGTCATTATTAGTTTCTTCAAAAAATTCCATTATGATAGTAAAATTTTTAGCGAAAGAAAATTTACAGTAAATATATATATTTCATTTATTAAATTTTTAGCTACGAAGGTTAATCATAATTATTATCGCTATGATATCACTATTAGCTACGGTGTTACGACATTGATTAATTAGTTACGGCAAATTACAACGTTATCAGTTATGGTATTGATTTATGGTTACGGAACAATGGGATCATGTAACTTGTATCGGTAAGCCGTAAAATTCATTGGGACGATTCGCCTGCATCACTAGTTATTACTATTTCTTTTTCGGTATAATATACCCAAACTTTTGTCCAAATGTAAGAAGTGAAAGTATTTCCGAAATTAAGATGTAACTATATCATAAATCCCATGACTGGAAATTTAGAGACATCACGCAATACAGGTTTTGAATCTTTGGCTATATCATGAGGCTTGTTTGGCCAAAGGCCATTGAGATAGATGTCATAAAAAAAACAACGAAGGTGAGTCACAATAAAAAAGGCTTAGTATAACTGTAGATACTCAAGCTTCTTAAGCTTCGTAAAAGTTATATCATTTTTTGTGCTAGCCTTATAGATTATTTTGGAGCTTCAATTTTGTTGTGTTATGAAAAGTTTCGTAATAGATTTTTACTATTATACATCATCATCATATTTTTTTGCATTCATGACTAACTTTTTTTGCAGAGTTAAAAACTAACTTCATTTTGCATAGCGATTTTTTTTTTTTTTTTGCTCTTTTGGCGCTTGTAGAAAAATTATATAAAGGGTAATTTGTCGCTACTACTGCACTAAAGTTAATCTTCATTCTAGTTCTCTTTCACTATTGAATTGTACCCTTCGATCGATATAATGAAAAATCGTTCATTTAATAAATACTCATTGTGTCTTTAAATAATGCTTACGATTTGAGTTAAATTCGGCTGCGTTTTATTCCAAGCCCTCCCTAATCGTAACATCTGACCTTGCTCGTATTTTATGTCCGTGGATTTTGTGCTTGATTTTAATAATCGAATCAACTAATAACGGTAACTTTTTATATATTCTATACATATGCGAATTTAATCTAACGTTATGAGCAAAAAGTGACTTTCCCGATAAATCAAAACAAACCGAGCCTCAACGTCAACCTCTTGGAGGCTTGGATGGTGCATTGAGAAAGATAAGCCATGGAAGCAACAAAGGTGAGTCACAATGTAAAAGGCTTAGTATAACTGCAGACTCTTGTAAAAGTTATTTAAAGGATACTACGTATGTAAATCAAACTACGGTATATATATAATAAATAAAGCGATTCATTAACGAAGATTTTTTCGATAGCAATCGATAGATAATAATTTTATAATAATTATTGCAAAATTTAAATAGATGCGCAACCCTAATGGTTCGATAGTTTTGAATAAAATTTTGCAAAACCAGTATTACCGGTATGTTTCTACAAACGAGGTTACAGAGCCATTCTTTTATTCAAACATGAAAAAATTTTATCGATCCATTAGGGCTGTACATCTATTTAGAATTTGCAATAATGATTTATAAAATTATTACATACCGATCGCTATCGAAAAAATCTTCATTAACAAAATTTATTATATAATCACATATAGTTTTGATTTACATAGTATACCACACCCCCAACGTAACATGGGTAAGTCGACATTTATGCATGATGTAGAGCACGTAAGAATATTAGCTTTTAATAATTTTCTCTTTTCATAATATCCCAGAAATTGATCAATCACCAGTCATTGACTTAACCCATTTGTTCAAAAGATTATTATATATCACCCATGACACTAGGTTGATGATCTTTTTTCCGAGAATCATATCAAACGAAATAATTCAAAACAATCACGGTTTTCAAATTTATAAAAGTATGCAAACATTTTTATGGGATCTATAATAGAGTTCCCGTAATAACTGTCCGTATACTTGACATCCCTGGTGGGAAGTTGCTACGAGCATAAAATTCATGTGATTTATTATTTCACAGGCACAACAAGATTGACCAGTAAGAACCCAAATAATTTTAACGTAATTGTAATCCAATTAGAGTTATGTAAATCAATTATACTAGTTACTGTTTTAACGTGTCATGTAAATTAATTATTAACGCGATTTTTAAACCATATTTCATATATACACATTTTCTATATTTCTTGTAATCATGTTTACTACCGAAACGTCATGAAGTGGGTACTTCGATATAACACCACCAGAAGAATATAGCTTTCTATATTATTATGAGCACCGGTTGAACAAGCTGACTTTATTTCTTCGCTCAGAAAGGAGTCTCAGATTGAAAACAGATCTCACAAATCTAACAAGAAATAGCTTTGGTGAAATGAAAAATGCTGCCAGACGAATAGAAAAAAGTAATTTGCTAACGTTATTATTTGTTTATTTATTTATTTATTGAATTACCGTTTAGCATTGCCTATAGCACGCAAAACTTCCATTTTTAAATTGATTAATACCTATGGGTACTATATATGAAAAATCGAAAACTAGTTTTTTTATTCTAATAGTACGGCATGGGGATATTATTTTATGTGGATACTATAGGCAGTGCTAAACGATAGGGAGGCTGAACGGATTTTAAGGGCTACTCTTCATGCTGGTCCTCTACTATTTTATCAATAGTACTGAATGTTGGTTGTAATAACGTTTCTTGCAAGAATGAACCTGCACAATTAAGGATAGATACTTTCATGCTATCCAACTTATCATCTTCATGCCTGTTGTGTTTTCTTCCAGCAATGCTTTTCCATTTATTCTAAAATGGACCACTAATTCTTTGTAAGCTTATAAGCGCATCATAAATACTTTAAGACATTGATTTGTTTTGGAACTCAACTGAGAGACGTCATGATGAGGTTTTATTTAATAAATTCTCTGTTATAAATTTATGAATAAACTCTTGCTCATAAATTTTTCAATTGTAGGCTAAAGTCTCCACCATGACTCTCTTCATGTTCTTTCTGTATCTCTCACCATGTTGTTCACTGTGTTGCTCTTTGTATCTCTCATTGTGACTGCTCTTACATTTTGTATATTTTAATTTTATTATAATTAGTAAGTTATTTTCAATAATTTTTCAAATTTAAGAGTTTGGTTATTATACACATATGTATTATTTTTTCTTATTTTTTTTTTAATATTCATTTTGGATGTTCTATAGAATAGGTGGGCAAACTTCACAAACTTCACAACTCCGATATTAAAAAATTAATAATTAATAATTTTTATAAAAAATAATTAATTATTTTAAAAAAATATTA